TATATTCCCTCTGAGAAAGATAACAAGCAGTCCTTCGTGTCCAGGACTGATCTCATAAATGATCTCACAGAATACCAAAGTTACTCTGAGACCATGATAACATAAAACGAAATAAGACCACTTCATAGCTTTGTGTAAGTATAGAATAAAAACAAGGTTACTGTACCATTTACAAAATACCCCAAACTTTTCTTCTTTCTGACAGTATCTAGTCTCAGTAAAACCCTGCCTCCAGTCCCCTAGGAAAAGCTCAAATCCTACAAAAGTTTCTTTGTGACACACTGTATGGAGATGGTTCCTCATACTGTGTTCTCCCTGGCCACAAATAATCCTCCCAACTTGTTTCAGAGGTAGGCTTTGCTGAAGGTCATTGATACTTCACTGCTCTGAATGATCTGGATGGCTATAATTGTTTGGAAATTTTAGAATTGGGTAAGAGAAAGAGTATTATATTCTGCTATATCAGGAATATTAATGTAACCTTTTGGCAGTTTCAGAGCATACTACTAAAGAGACATGCTCTAGGGGAACAAAAAATTTAGTTATATTTGATATTTAAAATATAGTCGTTTTCTAAAACATCTGTAGAAATGTTTTTGAAAATAGCAAAGAAAAAGAAAAGTAGGAATGTTCCAGCAAATAAAGGCATAATAAAATTATCACTCAGCTAGCACAGACTAAAAAAAGGGGAGCAAGTTTTGTTATTTCTTTTATTACCTTTTAGGAAAGCTCACTGATTTCATTAGAATGCTGCTTGGAAAGCTAAGAGGGTGAGCCATGTCTCACTGACTGCTGTCTAAAAATAAATCCTGAAAGTAAAATCTCTGTGTCCTGTCTGCATTCTAATGTACAAGCCAGTAAATTAAAATGTACCTTACATTACACAAACAAAAGGGATCCTAGCAGTAGAAAACTTTGGGGCTATCCTTTGTTTTCTAACTGTACTGCAGACTAACTTTGCTTCTTTGGGTGATTTCAAAAATGCCTCTCAATTATTCTTATATTTGGTAATGAAGGGCACAGATTTAGATACCCTGAAATTTATGACAAGGTAAATCAATTGCTATAATAGCCATATTTAATTTTTCCTAGCCTTGAAAAACAATTCTATTTCTCAGTTATTGGTTTCAAATCCAGCCATAAAAGTCACAGTACTATTGTTTATAAAATCAATGTAAAAGACACACAATGGAATGGAATGTCTCAGCAACATAGATGGTACCTGTCAGCATTGAGCTCATTGAAACACAGGCCACATTCAATGGTCAACATCTATTATCCACTAAACATTAAACAATTTAAAAATAATTGCATGACCACATTATAAACCTCACTTGTTAAATACAAAAGTATATGTATATTTCATTTAAAATACTTTTAGTGGCATATTTTAAATATAACTAACAGTGACTACAATAAAGGACCTTGACAAAGACATAAACTCCTTAATTCCCTTTGGAAATATATATGAATAGTACTGTGACATCTCTCTAATCGGGAGAAAATGGCACAGGTAATTAAAATCAGGACATTAATCTCACATAAAAGTTAATCGATAATGCTGCCCACTTCCAAAATCAGGAAGGCACATGATATAAAAGAAAAAGGACTCAGGAGAGAATGCTCTTAAGACCAATCTTTGAGTTACATTGTTTCTTGCATTTAACATTTCATTTTATCTCCCAATATGAAATTTTAAATACTACAAACATGTTATATGGATAATTACAGTGGACTGCTAAAATCTCTACCACATAGCATAAACCTGAGCAGCCATTTGTCTCTCATCAGGGAATGAATCATACGTTTTTCACATGTAGGAAGGAGTGAGATTAATACCATTTTAGGTACATTTGAGGTTTCTGTAAGCATCCTACATGCTGGGACCGTATGTACCGTTTTCATGTTTGCACTCAAAGATTAGGAGAGTGCCCAGAATACAGCAGGCGCACGAATATCTGTGGATGAGTGAGTGAGTATCTGCTTTTCCTTCTTTCCCCTGATCTGCCTTATTTCATCCTCTGGTGTATTTCCTGTTGGTTCTCTACTTTGACAAATTTATTTGCAGCAATTAGGTAATACCAAACTTTTTTTGAAAACATTTATAAAAATGTATGTTGGGCTCAACACATTCAAATTTAATTGCTCTACTGCTATTGGTGGTCTACCATTCTCCTTCTTCTGACAGATTCTGACTGAGATGTGTATTGTTCTTTATTTCCATATCCTAAATAGTTGCTAACAAGTATTATAGGCAGTAACTCTCTCTCTTCTACTATCCTTCTCTGCCTTTCATTACAGCCAGGTTTCTTTCTCCTATTCCAAGAAATGTTCACAGGAAATGCTTACGTATGCCTCACAAATCTCTGAGATAGACTCTATCATCCTCAATTAAGGAAGAATCTCAAGAAAGGAATTTAAATGTTCCAACATATTACAGGAAATAGCGAAAAACAAGTAAGTACTCAGATTACTACTTTCAGTCTTCCCTAAGAGTTAGCCAGATAAAAAAAAATTTACTTATAATAAACTTGGGAGATTTAAAAAAATATAACATGTTTTAATTCCCCAAATCACCACCTAACAAACTAGATGCTGCCAAAGATGAGTCCCACTGTGTCTCCTCATCCCCATCATCAACATCTTGTTTAAGTATGTTATGTTCTTGTTAAAAAAGAACATGCAGAATAAGGTGTAACTTTTTAAAAGAAAAAAGTAAAACCTTTGTTATTATAATATATGGTTTCCAAAGTAATTTATTTTAAATGAAGCCAACAAAGTCTAAAGAATATAAAATCATAGAAAATAAAAATTTAAGATTAACATTTAATAATTAGCATTTAATCAAAAAATGTATGTAACTCTTTCTTTAAATAAATACTACTATTTTCCCACTAATTCCTGGATAAAAATTTAAATTCTACCTTCAAATGAACTTTAACACTAACTTCAACTATTTCTCTAAACGTACATCTATGTTCCTGCCAAAATCCTATCACCCAACTGTACCTTCCCACCTCTTTGTCTTTACTTGCATTGTTCCTTTTGCCAAGAATATACCTCCCATTTCAATCTGCGAAACTTCTTTCCATCCTTCAAGGCTCTTCAGTGTGCTTTTGGGGAAAGAAACCTGGACTAAAAACCAGCAGTCTGAAGTTAACAGTACTAATTCAGCCACTGGTTCATTACAGAAACTTTAATATGCCATTTAATCGGCCTGGCTTTTATTGCCTTACCTATAAAACAAAGGTATTCAACCAGGTGATTCCTACGGAAATAAATAATAAGGAATCCTAAAGTCTGAGTTTGTTACATGTGCTAGGCTGAAAATTTGACCTTCATTCACCCAAGGTCAGAGTAAAGCTAACTCAAGAGTATATTAAGGGAATGTCTTGATGTGTTCCGCACCACTTATTTTTGTCTAGTGAGCAGACTTATAAATAATAGCCAGTTTCCAGAACAGTGAAGTTGAGGGAGCCAGAGATGTTACAGACTGTCGTAAGGATGGCAAAATAGAACTACTTACACTTAATGAAACCACCAATTTACTTAGTAACAATGTCAGAAGACTCAAACATCCCTATGAAGATACTTGGAGGAAGCTGGAAAGCCCAAGCTCAATGTAGAAACAAGAGGCATGGTCTTTCATTGTGCAATTGTTTCCAAACAGGTAAGTTTCCACATCCTCTGACTCTGGTGTACAGGAGGATGATCCAACCAACTAAGCCACATGGCCAGGGCTTCTCCACATCCTTTGACTTTAAAGAAAAATCACTTCTGTCTACTGGCATCATTTGCTTTCTATGATTCAACCACGCTTCACCTTCTTCACCGTGTTCCTTGATTCTTCCAACTAGACTTTCCCAATCTTTTGAACCTTATAGATCTTACTACACTTTATATCATATCACCAGTTCCTTTATTAAATTGCTTAATGGAGGAATCTCCTTATTTTCCTGTGTATTTCCTTCCAAAAATCCCCATTTCTACTTTAGAAGCCTAACTAGATGGGAGAGGCTCACCAAACTTTTGCTGAATAAATGAACTATCAGCATCATACTTATACAGAGCACACAAAAGTTACTAATTAGATGAGAAGAAATAAGTAGTTTATAAACTTTAAAGGCCTACACCTGCTTTTAAAAAATGGATTGTTGATTATATTAACCATTATAGGTCATTTTTCATCTGTGTTACTAGGATTCCACTGACAAAATAAGGCAAAAGAAGAGTCAAGGCCAGCTTATTAGGCATTCTCTGAAAAAGGACTATGGACTGCTTAGCACTGCACAATAGGATAATGATAACTGATGGTCATATGATGATTCTCTGGCTCAGACACAACCTGAGCTAAGTTTAGAAAAACTCAGATTAAATTATTGTCAGTATATCTTAGCACTAAATATGTTCTGAGATGTATCATTTTTGAAAAACAACAAAGAAGGGCAGACTATATGGTTATTTTCTGTTTAGAACAAACCATTCCCTAACTATGTCTAAAAACATACCCTTTACTGTGTATATCCTAATGCATTTATACTTCCTAACGGCCTCAACATTTGAGAAATATGAGTAATCATGGTAATAAAATATATTTTAAAATTTCAACAAAAAAAAAGAATGTATGGCATCATATATTTCCAAAGAGTCATATGCTACCAAAGAGGGAAGACTGCATTTTGGACTTCTGTTTCTTTAAGAGTATGGAGAAATAATACTCTCACAAATATAGGCAGTGAGAGGAGACTAGACACTCAAATAAAATGGATTACAATATGCAGAACAGAAAAGCTATTAAATGCACATTCACTTATGTAAGACACAAGAAAAGCTTTAGAAAGCACATAAACGCCTAAGAGACAAGGAAAAAACAACTTACTAAAAGAAATGAACAGCCACTGCAGATTCAAAATTTTTAAAGGCTAGAGTAAAAACAAGGTGGAACAAAATATCAAAATAGTAAATGACAAGAGAAGGGGTTAGGGGTATATGCTACTTACAGGAATTCTTCTCCAGGGTGTCTGGGTATATTTATCGACATATGTGCATTTTTCCTCTTTAGATTTTTGGTGACAGTTACATCGAGTTGCCTGAACAAAAATACAAATTTTTATACTGATGTAATATTTCAAACACACCTACATATACAAAAAAATTAGGGTCTCTTTTAGAGGGTTAACAAAAGAAGAGCAAACATCAAGATTTATTAGGTCATCTTCCATCTTATTCAGAGATTGGGTTTGAGAGTCAGCCAGAAGGTTACAATTTTGAAGAGTCAAAATTACCTTTTGCAATCTCTTATATTATCCATAAAATGCACTACCTATAATTTTATGCATTTAAATATATACAGTACTTATGTATATAAGTGGAAAAAATATATAAGAATATACAGTACATAAAGAATACAATTGCAAGAATTGAAGTATTTCCCTAAACTATTATGATTACAACAATAACTGCAGCACAATTTCTTAAATTCATTTTTAACTGGTTTCTACCAGATTTTAAATACTAACATTCTGCAAGTAAGACTGTCTTTTCACATGTCTAGAACTTTTAAGCTCCTTTAATGAATGATGTGCCAACTTCACTGGACTGTAATACTTTGAAGGATCTCTGCCCTTTGACAAGATCTATCTTAGCATCTCAATTCACAAATGAATTCTCTAACCATGATTCCACTCAAAGCATACTCATTTAGTTATTTATACTACACAAAGTAATGTATCTATTATGTAAACTTTGGTCTTTCAAATAAATACCAAATTTTTGAAGAAAAGACTGCCTTGGCTGGTGTGGTTCAGTGGATTGAGCAGCAAATTGAAAGGTCACCAGTTTGATTCCCAATCAGGGCACATGCCTGGGTTGCAGGCCAGGTCCCAGGGTAAGGGTGTGTAAGAAGCAACCAATCAATGTTTCTTCCCCTCACATCCCTTCTCTTTCAAAATAGTCTTTTTTAAAAAATGAAAGGATTGAGAATGAGAACTTCTCCTTAGTGTGAAGTTGGAATATAACCATATTATGAAAAAGGAACCAAATCCTCCCACCCCTGGAATTTATTTATAAAAAATCATGTATTTATTCTTACATGTTTAAACTTCAGTCACCTTCAAAGTACTCTCCTTTTTATGTAATACTATACTGATGTTTTTTCCACTGCTCAAAACAATTTTTGAACTCATCAATTTTGATGCCTTTTAGTGCTTCTTCCATTTTTTGTCTCACCTCTTCTACAATGGCAATATGTTTCCTTTTGAGGACTTTTTTCATCCAGGGAAACAAAGTAGCTCAGGGCGAGACTGGGTGAACAGGAAGGTAGGGCATGAGCGTCATTTCCTTTTTGATCAAAAACTGCTTGAACACTTAGTGTGATGTGGGCATGTGCGCTCATAAATCAAACAAAGGCAGACTCTTCAAAAAAATTCCCTGAAGCCAAATGCAGCCTCTCACAACAATGCCAGCTGTTACACTGATAAGACAGGTTCCCAGAACACTCACCTAGCAGAAGCCTGTACTAGGGCCCACCCTTCCAGAAGGTAATTCCAGTTTTGGGGGGTACCCCATTGTACTTGTTAAATAATTCCAATGGAGGAAAATATACTTTCTTGTAGAAAAATCTGTACAACAAATTATTCATTACTGCATCAAGTTAAAATTTTAAGTTTCTACTTTAAAAATAATTACCAATATTCAAAAATTATCTAAATTGAAACTAGATCATTTCAATTTCCACATACAAAATAAAATCTAATTAAAACAAAAAAATCTCTGTAGTACTGACATATTTTTCATTTCTTGTAATACAGACATATTTCTCATTCCTAAGAAATGAGATAGTCATTGAAACAAAATTCAATATATTCAACTCTTGAACGATAAGAGGTTGAGGTGTGCCAAGTCTCTGCAATATACATTTACAATACTATGTATGTTTATTGCAAAAAAAAAACCCCAACAAACAAACAAACTGCAAATAAGTGGACCCACACAGTTCAATTCTGAGTTGTTCAATTCAAGAGTCAAGTCAGGGTCTGCTGGTGTTCACTCTACTGGGACTTAGCTTTCAACGTATATGGGATGTGTGCAAAGAAGATAAAAGTAATATAAAGTGCTTATCTTAATGCAAGCACATTACTTATTCTATCTTGACTAGTGCAATTCTGGAAATAATTTCCTTTTGTTGTGTCTATGTACTGTCATATGAAGAGTAAGATTTGGCAAATATCCGTGTTTTCCATAATTAAGAAAACCTACTTTTTAGTAATATGCTTTTGACATCCAACAAAGATTTTTCTTGGCCTATTGGTATTTTTATGCCATTACATTCTTCTTATTCTACTCTTTTATATTACTACCAACTAAACTCTGTCTAACTTCAAGACAGTGTACATGTTATTTTCACATGGCCCTGCATTTGAAACTGTGACCACTATAAAATTATGAAGATTCTATCCACCACTGTCCATGGAGAAGGAACATTTCGTCTAACAGAGTTGTACAGGTACCTCAGTCAGATAGCCAATTTCATTCTGCTACCAGAGAGAAAAATGCCCCGTTTTCGACTCAGCAGTACTCAGTTCTTTAAAAACACACGAGGAAAAGACATTTACCCTTTAGCAATAAAAAGACTTATTGTAAATTGGTGAATTTCAAAACCCCAAAACATATGCCACTGAAAATGAATGGACAAAGATTTTCTTTTCACCTTGACTATTTACAATTTATAAGTTAAACCACATACTTTTAGAGGGCATATAACCTAAAAATAATGTGATAATGCAACTGTGAAAGCCAAAACCAAAGTCAAACTTTGATTCTGGCTATGGTTTTATAAAAAATACATATTGCTGAGTTTTACAAAGTCTTCTCTATACACTATACTACTTACAAGCTGATGTTCTAATAGTTGGATCTTTTCATCTTTTTTCTTTATTTCCTCTTTAAGTTGTTTTATTTCATTTAATAAGTCTTCACTCTGAAACATTAAAAAATTTAACATAAAGTATTTAACTGCATTTAAAATACCCCAATGAGAAACATTAAATCAATAATGAAGAATGAGCAGATTTGTTCATTCAAGAGAAAAAAATTCTTACTAAATAGACCAGCTATTAAACTAAAAAAAAAACAAACCCAAAACACATTTTAATAGTCTATGAATTCATTGTCTTATGGAGTTAGACACGTAAACAATGAACAATAATAACAGCTAATATTCACTGAATATTTAACAAGGTGCCAAGAACTAAGTTCTGTCAGTTGTCAAAGCACTTGATCCTGACCACATCCCCATGGTAGGTACTATTATCCCCATTTTACATATAAGGAAACCGGGACACAGGCCATCTAGTAGAACAAACGAGATACAAAACAGTAACTCCAGCTAAATTTCAAGGGATGTATAAGAGGGGCCTGTCACTGGAGGAGGGCACAACAAGCAAAGGGAACAGTGTCATTAAAGTAACAGTTATTTCACGGCTGGTTCAGAATTCAGCAGAAAGATAAACGTGCCTCAAAAGTAACCAGGAGATAATTTGCCAGGAGCAACTTTTCTGAGAATTACCTGAATTGAAGGGAAAATACCCTGTCCATTTAATCTATAAGAAATTCCTAATATTATTAAATGGAAATCTATCGTCAAGTTAAGCAGGAATCCAGCTATATTCCCAAGTATATTACCCTACAGTTACATATATTGAGAAATATATACTGAGGAAGTAGTGGAAACAAAGAAATTAGAATAAACATAAATTATATTATCATCTTTCCAAGCAGAAAAATACATAAGCAAATAATTACAATGCGTTGTTACTGAGCAAAGTAAGCCATGTCCCTCAGATACGCTGGAAACAAAAAACATTGCAATCTCTTTAACAACAGATCAGAAATACACATTTTGCAAAGGTTTTAACATAGCAAATAAACAAAGGGGGAGAAAAGATTTCTTAATTATGCTATGTGTACTGCAATTGGAAAAGACTACTTATAATATGTATATAAAAAATATTTCCAGTTAAAATTAAAGAACTTAAAAAATTTTTAAATTCATATACCAAGACTGAAAAGAGACGAATTGCAGATCATGAAGGATATAATTTTAAGCTATGTGGCAAACGAAACTAGTAAAAATGATAAATATATTTAATTACATAATATTTAAAGCATCTATACACTTAACATCAAAATTAAAAGCTGGTGAAAACCTAAAGAAACATGACAAAGGGTTTATATCTCAACTATGTAAGAGCCTGTTCAACACATAACATCATTCTTTAGGCTGCAGAGACAAACAGCCAGTTCTCACAAACACACGATATAACTGGCAAAATGTGCTGTTTAATTTGTTGAAGAAATATGAAATATTTTATGGGTATTAAATTTGGGAAAGAAATGCTCAATGTGATTAATACCACAACTAACCTTTCTGAAAAAAGTATGGTCATATACAGGAATTACAAAAATACTTTCAGTCTTCAACTTGGTTGGCCCAATCCTAGAAATCTATGCCAAACAAATGATGCTAAATAGGAGAAAACTTACAACAAGGTGTTAATCTGAAGGTTTATAGATTAACACTTGTTCTGTAAGGGAACAACTGAAATACATTACAGCAACTTGATGGAATATTATATAGCTATCACTCAGTCACTGCTAGGTTCTGCCACTGATGGAGTGAAGGACCCAAAAATGAAAACAAACTACAATGTAGTAAAGTAATAACACTAATAAGCAGCATTTACTTTATGACAGGCACTACTTTAAGGGATTTACACATAAAGGAGAATACAAGAGGGTTAGCTCCAGGGGAGTCTTAAAGGATGAGTAAAAAGTTCTGAAGGTACAGAAGTGTGGCAGGCTTTGGATTTTAGGGTAAGAGACTTTAAGTATTGTATGAAAATACAGAGATGAGGACAAGCACAGCACAAGCACAGCACAATCTGGAGACCTAAACAGCGGTGTAGTCACACAAAGGTTGTGCTGAGTGATGGGGAGCAATGTGGCTGATAACTAGGCAATGGTTAGATCATAAAGGACCACGAGCATGAAGTATGGCTCACACCAGGAAACATAGATGATTCTGCATTCGAGATGTCTTTGATAGATGTTTGGAAGCCATATTTGACAACAACAACAAAAAGAGGCTAGGGAACTTCTTATCAAGATATAACACTCCAGCCCTGGCTGGTGTAGCTCAGTGGATTGAGCACAGGCCTGTGAGGCAAAGAATTGTCGGTTTGATTCCCAGTCAGGGCATGTGCTTGGGTTGCGGGCCAAGTCCCCGGTGAAGGACACATGTGAGGCAACCACATATTGACGTTTCTCTCCCACTCTTTCTCCTTCCCTTCCCCTCTCTCTAGAAATAAGTAAATAAAATATTTAAAAAAAAAGATATAACACTCCAGGTAAGTAGGAGCCAGACTAATGACAATGATAATAAGGGAAAGAAGGCAGAGGAGAAGACTCAAAATTGAAAGTTTTTGGTGATTCACTGCATGTAAGAGAACAGAACAGAAGAGCAGTAAAGAGTAACACCTGTTTTTCTACCTGGGGTAATACAGTGAATGACTGTGCAACTAAAAGCACTGGAGAATAAAGGAGGAGGAATATATATGTCCAAAAATAAATATTTGTGAGTCTTTAATATATTATTAAAAGTAGTGGATGGGACATACAGTGGAAATGTCCAATGGGCAACTAGATTACCAATTATTATTAAAGAAAGACTTTACATCATGTCAAGTATTTCATATGTGAAATCATGACTGAAAAAGGTTCCAAGAAACTGGGCTGAAGACATAAATCTACATTCTAAAGAAGAGAAGAAACCTACAAATAAAATGGGAGAAAAAAGGTGTGAGGGATTTCAGAAAGAAGTGAAACAAAAACCAAGGGCTAAAAGCTTTTAATACAAAAGCCACACCAAATGTCTACATTAAAATCAGTAGCTATTTTCATTTTTCAATGTTTGCACATGTACTAGAAGGGGTCTTAAGGGGAGTCAAGGGAAACTTTATTTTTTATTTACTGAATTTAAGACAGAAAATAAATACAAATTTAGAAACTGAGGATGAAGAGGGAGTAGATAAAGCGGCAGAAAAGAGTCAAGAACACAAGAAGAATGGGTGATCTTGCACAGCATTGTGGCCACTTTTCCCCTGTAGCTGGAACAAAGTGAATGAGAATGGCAATAGCTACAGATAAGTTGGAAGGCAGAAAGGAAAGCAGCAGATCTTGCTAAATAAACACAAGGCTACCTGGAGAACTTCAAGAGAGTGGCCAAGGAAGGGGCCTGAACACAGTTTGTCTGGAATAGTTCATAAGGGGAATGGCAGAGGGAGTTGTCCTGAGATAAAAAGACATGGCAGGTCCAGTGGAGATTTTAAACCTTAAATTTGTAATGATGCAGAACTGTTAAACCATTTGGGATGACATGGACACAGAGCAGGGAATCTGATGATGAAAGGGAGTCTAGTGTACTAGAGAGAGAGACACTATCGGTTATTGCCTTTCATTAAAAAAGAAGAAAGACTAGTAATGGTCCTACCTAGAAGGTGTAAGAAATACTGTGTAATAATATGTCTTTTATGTAATATTAAACATTTCGATAAAAACTAAAAAAATGAAAATACTGATATAAAAAGTAGGAATTTTAAAAATATATTTTATTGATTGTGCTATTACAGTTGTCCCATTTCCCCCCTTCATTCCCCTCCACACTGCACACTCCCTCCCCCACCATTTCCCCCTTTAGTTCATGTCCATGTGTCACAAGTTCTTTAGCTTCTACATTTCCCACACTACTCTCGCCCTCCCCCTTTTTTCTACCTACTTTCTATGCTACTTATTCTCTATACCTTTCCCCCGTTCTCCTCCTCCCATTCCCCTGTTTCTACTCCTCCATGTGATCTCCATTTCTATGGTTCTGTTCCTATTCTAGCTGTCTGCTTAGTTTGCTTTTGTTTTAGGTGTGGTTGTTAATAACTGTGAGTTTGCTGTCCTTTCACTGTTTATATTTTTTATTTTCTTTTTCTTAGATAAGTCCCTTTAACATTTCGTATAATAAGGGCCTGGTGATGATGAACTCCTTGAACTTCACCTTATCTGGGAAACACTTTATCTGCCTTTGCATTCTAAATGACAGCTTTGCTGGATAGAGCAATCTTGGATGTAGGTCTTTGGATTTCATGACTTGGAATACTTCTTTCCAGTCCCTTCTTGCCTGTAAGGTCTCTTTTGAGAAATCAGCTGACAGTCTGATGGGAACTCCTTTGTAGGTGACTGTCCCCTTATCTCTTGCTGCTTCTAGAATTCTCTCCTTCATTTTAATCTTGGCTAATGTAATGATGATGTGCCTTGGTATGTTCCTCCTTGGATCCAACTTCTTTGGGACTCTCTGAGCTTCCTGGAAGTCTATTTCCTTTGCCAGATTGGGGAAGTTCTCCTTTATTATTTGTTCAAATAAGTTTTCTACTTGTTACTCTTCCACTTCCCCTTCTGGTACCCCTATAATTCGGATGTTGGAAAGTTTAAAAATGTCTGGGAGGTTCCTTAAGCCTCTCCTCATTTTTTGTTTCTTGTTTCTTCCTTCTTTTCTATTTGGTTGTTTCTTTCTTCCTTCTGGTTCACTCCATTGATTTGAGTTCCAGTTTCCTTTCCATTGCTGTTGGTTTCTTGTGCATTTTGCTTCATTTCACTTAGTGTAGCCTTCAGTTTTTCATATAATTTGCAACCAAAATCAACCAATTCTGTGAGCATTCTGATCACCAGTGTTTTAAACTGTGCATCTGATAGGTTGGCTATCTCTTGGTGGCTTAGAATTATTGGCTCTGGGGCTTTGATCTGTTCTTCTGTTTGAGCCATTTTTTTGGGGGGGAGGTCTGGTTGTGCCTGTTACATAGTGAGGGGAAGAGCCTTAGGTGTTTCACCAATCACCCCTGCCCGTCGCTGGGTTGTGACACTGTATGTGGAGGTGGG